TCGCCGGGAATTCGCGGGTATCAAAGGACAAGACGAACCTGAGTCAGCAGAAACCTCTTCACAGTTCGAGTCGTCTTCGGAAAAGTTCGGCTCCGTTTCCGACTGGGGAACGTCGGGGTATTCTTCTCCTAACCATCACCTGATGGTGGAACTCGCTGAAATGAGAAGCAAACTGAGGCGCTTGCAACAACAGCTGTGAGTAATTTTTCTGCTCGGAATCCCCATTAGCGTCGGTTTAAATTGGACCCCGACCGTATCTCACCGTCATGTGCCGCGCAGTAACGAAGAATTTATTATTTAATTGCCCCGCGGTGGGGAACAAATCAGGGAGGAGTCCTCAGAAAACGCGCAGGAAGTTAAAGACGAGGCGCAATACTTGCGGGAAACCGTGGCCAAAGTCAAGGCGGAAAACGGGGATTTGGCTCGAAAAGCTCGGTCGGTCAAGCTTCTAGAGGACGAGTTGGACTTTGTGCGTGAAAAAGCAGCTCGGGCTGACCAACTAGAAACCGTCGTCCGGAATTACCAAGAGAAACTGACTGAAATGGAGTTCCTCAAGTCCCGCATCGACGAGTTGCGGGAAGAGAACCAGGTTTTACTTGCGACGAAGGATTTGCTTGAAGATCAACTGGAAAACATGCGGAGTCGGCAAAGCCACGCCATCAAACTCGAGGAGGAATCAGTGCTGCTTCGAGGACAAATTCAGCAATTAATCATGGTCAGTACCTCACGCTAATTACGAAGAATAAACGATATCTACATTGCTCCAGCCCGGATTAAACATTTATTCTCAGGAACGGGAAGCCAGTAAAATTGAAGTCGAAGAGCTCAAGGAGGAACGGTTAAAAGTTTTGTTGAGAAGTCAATCGGACACCATGGATCAATCTCTTCTTTCTTCCCATCTTCAAAGTCTGCAAAGCTCAGGTATGCCTCACGAGAACATCTGGAACGAGAGGGATTCTTTCAAATATTGGACGTAATTCTGGTTTTTTTTTTTAAACGTTCCCCTTTCACTCCAAAATTCAAAACGATTTTCATCCGACGCCATGGCTGAATTTTCGGTTTTCCTGAATTTATTAATTGTCGCGGCAGCTCAGCGATAATTTTGTAAGAAAAACTACCTGATCTTTATTATTCAGGCAAATCACTTCTTGCCCTCTCTGGGATAATCACGCTGTGCGGGAAATTCAAGCCCTGTACTGTACAGTACATGTAAAAAATATTCGAAGGTGGACAACATTTATGCACTGATGGGTAGATTTGATAAGGATGATTTAGAATATAATTCAGAGCAAGGCATTTTCCGGACCAACCAGCGAACTTTTTTCTATTTTGTATGTCGTGAGATCATGTTCATTTGCATTTGAGATACAGTGAATAGTAGTGTATAAGTTTTTTCCTAATTATGCTAGATCATGGAGATCGTAATTTATGATGAATTTTCTTATGCATTTGAATGTGATCAATGTGATCTGGGGGAAGAAGTACTTCAACTCAAAATTATGAAAATTGACTGTTTTGTTTCCTATGAGTAAAAATAAATTTTGGCAGCGTTAGGTGAATGCACGGCGAGGCTCTTCTTCGAGGAAGTTTTTAGCGGTACGAAGAAGTTTTTAGTCGGAAAACTGATAGAACTGACCTTGAATTCCCTTCAACGCCTCACGAGCAAGGGGATAGCTAATTAAAATGATGTATAGCCTACGAAGGTTTTCCTTCCTCGTCCGTACTAAGGATAAGGAACGAGTAATTAAAACGCCCAGGAAAGGAATGAACTTGAATTTCTCCAGCAGCTGGCAGCTCTTCCCTCGGCGAAGAACTGGCAACAGGAGCCATGTTTGACTTGCGCCAACTGGAGCTGGAGAACCAGCGCCTGAACCACCTCAACGACCAGCTCCAAGCTCAAATCCTCAACCAACATTCCGACGGAAAAGTAAAGAGCTTCCTTCGGAAACAGGCCGAGATGGGCGAGAAGTTCAGGAGTTTCCAGACGAAGCGGGACTCGCGGTTCCACGGCCCCAACAAGTCCCCCGAAAACGACGAAGGGATTTCCTGCGTTTGCTCTCTCACTTCCGATTTAAGCACTGCCGACAGCGAGGCGTCGACCGTGACTCAGTGCAGTGCAGTGCTCTGCACACATTCCACGATTCGCAGAAGGCCACCAGTCTGTGTTGAGCAATCCACCCAAACGGAATCACCCCCCAAGGATAATAAGCTCGCGCGACTCGCGGACCTGAACGGCGACAACGAGAAGCTCAGCGCCGAGCTGGAGAAGTGGCGAAACCGCGGCCGGGCCTTGTTAAATTACAACCGGACGCTGCAAAAGCTGCACGAGCAGCTGACGGCCAGTTACAAATCCGTGTTGCAGAAACACTCGGAAAACCCGGAGGAGCAATCGATCCGAGGCATGAAAATCCTACAGGAAGCCTTTGAGCGATCCGGACAAGCCCGGGAGAAATGGAATATCCTGGCTGTAGTTCTAGAAGAAGAGGAAGAGAAAAGCGAGGAATCTGTGATGGCTCATTCGGACGCATCAGCCGATAGTTCGTGCATGAAAGACGACTTTGTTTCGCTGTTCGCGCTCAACCAAAGACTCAAGAAGGATTTCCACGCAGTCAAGGAAAAGCTGGACGCAGTTGAGCTCGATAATTCCCTCATGCGTAAACGACAAGTCGAGTTGCTGGAGAAGCTTGAAAACTCCAACAAAAAAATTTCATCGGTGGAAGCTCAGCGATTCGAACTGCTTCGTCAATGCAATTCACTCTCGTGTTCCAACGCAACCCTCAATCAGGAGAAGAGCCATTTCATGACCCAAGTTTCCGTCTTACTATCTCAGTATCACGATCTGCTCATGCAAACCCTTCAAGATCAAAATCGCTACCATCAAGAAGAAAGAACGTACGCGTAAGTCCACTGAAACTCCTCACATCCTATTATAGACACGTCTTCAAACGTTGATTCTGTCATTTAGGGACCAGTTGAACGATTTGAAGCGTCAAAAGGAACGCCTCGAGGGAAAAATAATTGATCAACATCATCAGATCGAAACTGTTACCGCCAAGTACGCTGCCCTGGAAAACGCAAAATAAATTATATATGCACGTTGTACTGTTCTTTTTTTTCAGGAAAAGTCTGGGTTCATCTTTACTCCAGCGAGTAAAACGAGCAAGTTCAGGAATAATGCAGAAAGTTCCTCGATCCAGCCGAAGCCAGGACAGAGCCCAAAAAACGTTTCAACTTCACCTTCTGGAAAATAACGTCTCCGTCAGCGGAAACTACACGTCACTTTCCCATCTTGAAAATGCTTCCGGTGAGCCAACGAAATTCATCGAAGCGAAAGAAAAATCAGAAAAATACTTCATTTTATGAATAGAATCGTGCCGTTGAAAGATTATACTGTGGTAAAAATCTATGCGTAATTTTTGAACTGTTATTGAAGCTCAAAATCCTAAATGTTTCGTGAAGAAGAGTAAATGTTTCGTGAAGATTTCAGGGAGTTGGTGGTCTATAATCTATATAACCGGATCAGCAATCTGGATCGTTTTGTGTAGGATACTGTGAGAGTACAGTACAGTTTATCAAATTCGTTGAATCGCGGAGCCATCTATAAAATGTATTTCGATGGCAAAGCTCTTTCAAACAAATTGTATGCGGTGATTCCGTAGGTTTACCGAAATTAATGAGATTGAGAAGTTGAATTTTATTTCACTGAATAACAGACACGTTCATTTATTGTAAAAAGGAAAGCATCCCGATGAAGACAATTACGCAAGAACCGCCCCAAAGAATATGGTGCGCGAAGCACATCAAAGATGGAAGAGGAGTAAAACGCACCCGCAAGAAAAAGCCTCCTGCAAAAATGTCCCCACAAAGCCTCTGCCTCTTGTTACAAAGAGCGCGTAGCAAAAAAGAGACCAAAAATAATCCAGAAACCACGAATCAATTTTTAGGTTTTGAATTTTGTCCCTTTCAATATTTTCAGCATATCTTACATTGTTCATGCTGGTCTTACATTGTTCATGCTCAACATATTCTTTTTCTAAATTTATTGCAATAAACCTTCGACTCACCAGCAATAAAATATGCATTTCAATGAACATGCGTTAAATTGATCGCATAAAATACAGACCACCAGGTGTTCTCTTTATCATTCTCTTGTGTTGGCATTAGGTTCTAGGAGCCTATTCGTGTACTGTGGTTGATTCGCACTTATTTTGTTCGTGTTTCCTGTATTTTTGGAGTGTTTGCGGAGCCCCTGGGAAGTGCGGAGGAATCGTTAAGATAGAATCGCTACAATATCGCCTTTTTTCTGGCTCACAGTTGAAACTGATTAATATAATGAAAAGTTCAACGTTTTTGGTTGCCGTGAATGTGCAGAGTTGCCGTCATTGTTGGAGCGGAAGGAGAGGAGCAGACCTCCGAGTACAACAGCAGCGGAAGTGCACGCGTCTCCGACTGACGGCGCGACAACATCCGGCGTCGACGCGACAGTTGTGAACGCGTCACGCGGATGCGCGTCGCCAGGGTCCCGGGACGAAATTGGCCCAGATAAAACTGGAGATTCCGGCATGGGAAGTGTCCGCTCGAGACGAACGGTTTACTACTCAGATGACAACGGAAGTGGCACGGAACTATCTCGGTCTTCGTCTCGGGCATCCAAGCTGGCTCTACCTATCTCCAAGTCTGATCTGTGATGGACTATGCTTAATTAAGCCTCAGCTCAGCAGCGAACCAGGAAGTTCTTTGTACATACGGTAATGCGAGTTGGCCAGCACCAGCAGTCAAGGTCCGCCGCTTGTTTTTTTATGATTTGCGCGACATCTGTGTTACAGCAGAAATAACGCAAGTTAATGAGTTGATCCGGAGATTCTGTGTGTCGCGTTAATGTTTTGCTGCAATGACTTCTCGTCAACTCTCGTGAACGTTGTTGAAGGTTTGTTGAACAGTGCTGTTGTTCGCGTGTGTGGGAGTTTAAGACTTACGCTTGAATTGCAAATTTAGTTCAGTTTCTGGTATCACAAAATTTGCTTTTCTTTCACAATCATCAGTCACAAAATAAAGAACCCAATGACTTGCCTCGGAGTGACACGTCAAAAACCAATAAAAGCGAACAAATAAGGCCAACCGATAATGCTTTGCGGTGTACGTTCCACGTTTCCCCGTCTTAATTCTCTAAGGGGCATTCGGGGTCTAGTGGATGCAAGTTTTTTACCACGTTTTTATGAACTCACTTTCTTGTCTGTCTGTTTGTCCGGATCAAATTTTGAAACTCAAATTTCACTCACTTCCTGACTAGCTATCAAGCTGAAACTTTCAGGATAGCCTAGAAACTGATGACAATGCAATCTTTTGTGCTTTTTGGCTCACTATGAGCAGTTTAATTAGAGTAATTAGAGTTAATGACCACAACACAGCAAAGGCGACACCTGGAGAAGGCGCTCCAAGTGCAAATGCGCGCGCCTTCTCCAGGTGGCGCCTTTCGTCTCCTTTGTTCGGAGCTTAGCAGCTCCGAATTTAGAAACCAAGTTGAACTTTCGTTTTCGAGCGACGTTTAGGATATGAAGAAAAGCATGTTGACTTGATAGTAGTCGATAAGCAAGTTCTTCTCTGAAATGCTAAAGCACTCGAGATGTCTTGATAACAGTTTTCGTGTGAAGAATCACTTCAGAATATCGGCAGGAACCTATATTATCGAACGAGATTAGGAAAATTGTGTACTTTCAATCTAGAAGAGTGAATGTGAAAATGAAAGATGATCTTCACAAATGGGACACCAAGTCTGATTTTAGACAAATTCAAGGCTGTTTTCTCGTACATTTTTTGCTGTGCATTTCGAAGTATCGAAAGACGAACAATTACATTGAACAAGGAAATGGTGCTTGATGTCAATCAAAATGACATATTTTTCTATGGTCTCAAATTGTTCAATTCCGCTTCATTTTTTGAGATTTGTTCCGAGTTCTAACAGCTATTCGGAGGTGGTGTGACTTGTTGAACATTATTCACGAATTTGCTTGTATGATGGGGAATCTTTTTACTGCTTTCTGTCCGTTCTCTTGCCGTTTTCCGCCAAACTGAGCTGAGTTGACTACCCTGGAGGAACGGTTCGCGCCGAAAACCCGAAATTCAGTACCGAACGATTTGACGAAGAACTATCAATTTTATTATCCCCGTTATGAACGGGTTCATGTGTTCTTCTGAATGCCGAATTGATTCGAAGAAATTGTGGTCACTTGAATAATTTATCACTTGAGGTGAACACCTATATTGAAACTCTGCGGGAATAGCAAAAGAAATTGTCCGAAATGATTCCGTACTTCATTCGTGAATGGATACCAACATTTTCGTCTGAAAGTAACTGTTCTGCATTGGTTCTAGTTTCGGTAGATTGTTACTGATGATTGAAATTGTGTTCAAATTCCGCGTTTCGCATTCCGAATTCTGTCTTTTGATTCGTTAAATAAATAAACAATTTCTTTTAATAAAAAAATATATTCTTTTAAAAATACTAAAAAATTTTTATTTTTAATTTTGTTTTCTCATGCGTTATCATGCTTTTTTGTCTGTGGAAGCACACCTCGATTTATCTTGTTCCCTGTGGGTTTTTTTCTTTATTCGAAACATTGAAGATTTGAGTATATTTTATTACCACGTTTTTATGAACTCACTTTCTTGTCTGTCTATCTGTTTGTCTGGATCAAATTTTGAAACTCAAATTTCACTCACTTCCCAACTAATGAAAACGTGGTTTTTTAGATTAATTTTTTAATCTACTATAATTATTCTGACTCGCTCTCCAACATTTGAACGTCGACGTTGATTACCCTGCTCCATGTGGTCTATAATTTGCTAAGGGATACGATCCGTACTTCCGAGCGCGACCTTACTCGGGTGGTCGATCAACCGCTCCTGTAGCTCCGTCAATATTCCTTCCACCTGTTTCATAAATATTTTGCTCATTAGAACATATGAGAATTCTCAGAAATTCGTTCCATGAACACATCATATTGCACATTAGAGCGCTTTGAAATTTTAGAATTTGTTCCACGAACACACCATTAATACGTAGAAGGACATTTTGCGTACAGAATACATTTGTCACGATTTCTTGTGTGTGCTGCTGATGAAATTTAGATCGAGAAATTTCCATAATCTCACGACTGCCTTTCTTTACTCAAGGTATCTGCATTTCTCACAACTTTTCTTTTTCTGCTGCGTGCATATTGAAATCTGGAATCATTCGCAGTCAGAAATAAAATCCCTTTTTGACTTTTGAATAGCAACGTACCGTTTTAATTGAATCCATATCGCGTCAAGAAAAGGAATTTTAAGTCCAGCTTGTGAATTATTGACAGCTTGAATATTCAGAATTTGAGGCAGGAAGAGGATGCCCTCCAACTACCAACATTGATGCGTACCTTCTGCAAAAGAGATGATGAATTGGATATCACGAGGCGCCATTCATCCACTTCGTCCAGATGCAACTTCTCTCGATTATCGAGAAGCCTCAACATCTCTTCGGCTTTTTCGGGAAGTTCACTTAATCTACGCAAAAGTATTCAAAAAGAACTTTAATTTTTGCCATCCGCATGCCGACGATCTTATCTGGATGAAAACAATTCTAAGGAATCCATGCAGGGCCATGAAATAATTTACTTAATTGGGGACTAATTGACACCAAAGGGGCATAATTTGATCTAAGCAGAAATTCAAAAAGAAATTTATGCTGTTGCAAATTGCAAGTTGGCGACCTGATCTGTATTTACGATAACTCAGAAAAATTTACGCAGGAGATCGAAACTATTAATTGAGTGATAAATTGAATCTCGATTGAAGATTGCAGAATCAGGGCTACCTCACTGGGAATCGTGCAAAACTTTTATTCACCTTATCATTAAGTTGAACTACCATTTTAAAGCATGAAGTATTTTCTTCAAAAAGCGAAACACTTACCCGATATTCGAAACCGGGAATCCTGAGAAACCTCCGTTTGTGCTTTCCTCCTTCAAAGTATTTTCCAGTGCCCACAAACGCGTGAACAGGAAAAAGTTGCAAAATATCAAGCAAACGAGAACAGTCAAAATTATGCTCAAAAATCCCGCCGATGGAATTCCAGTGGAACCCAGATCCGGAGAACGAGCCACTAAAGTTGAAACATCTGCATTTGGCACTACTTCCAAGCTTCGATCAGGCAAGCCAGGTCCAAGGCCAGTAACGAAAGAACCTGCAAATACAAAAAAAGAAACAATTGAACTCAAACCGCACTCATGCAATTTAAAACCATGCGCATTCAAAGCTTTCATTTATGTAATTATTTTTAAACTGTTATACTGTAATTAGTACAGAAAGCAGACGTACTCGGACAGTTTCGGTTAGGCTTCACGAAACACAGTGACTAGTGAACTCATTTCCTTTCATTCCAAACAGTTACTACATATCTAAGCAGGCTCGTGGGATAAAACGAGAATTAACCCTGTCTGGATGTGGATCGGTGCGCCAATTTTCCCAAGAGTTTGAGGCCGTTTCTGTTGGATGACAAACCTTTCCGAAGAAAACTGGAAGACTCGTCTTCCATTTTATTCCCTTCCGAAGCTGAACTTTTCTTCGCCAATACCAATCGTGACCTGGTACTGCCCCGACCTCGAGCGATTCCAGGCCTCGTTTCAATGCAAGCCTGCATCATAGCGTTCTTCAGTTCTTCGTAGTATTCATGCATCCCCGCCCATGAGTTTTTCTCAATGAACCCTGGGAAACCAAGAAAGAATCCTCTCAGTTTCTCTAAGCATGTCGAAATATCTTATTTGAAAGAATATATAGACGCCTATGGTTACTGTATAAGCACGTAACATATCCTGGAATAAATACCTTTCACGACCGAAAAGCTACGTAAGGACAAGAATTGTGCTCTTGCACGTTCGAGATAAGTTTATTTTCGAAGAATAAATCAAGATTAAAAATATGAATAATTGCCGAAACAGTTAGGCATTTTTAGAGGTGAATTTCTGCCGCGAGCAAGAGACAACGGCGAACGCCCTTCGTCATTTTTCAGAGAGATGTGCGTTAAGATAGCGAATAATTCCATTTTGTTCGGTTATATTTTTAAAAATCTCACTCTCGACCACGAAAATGAGACCGATTAGTAGTTTCTACTTGAATTTGTCGAGAGTTGCCTGCAATCGAATTTTCAATAAAATGTTATTGCAATAACGCGACTATACGGATCGCACCCTGATTTTTGCTATCATTTGAATGGGACAAATTCCACGGACTGCAAAGGGATGGACTTCGGATGTAAGTACGGCCTATACAGTATAACACAGATGAAAAAATGTACTTTTTCAGCAGAGTTTACAATTTTTGAAAGTTATAAGCAACTTCCCAAATGTAAACTTTCAATTTTAAACTTATTTGTTTCTAGACATCGGTGAAAAATCCAGAAGTTTGGTAGAAGAAGTAGAACAACAATCAAGTTATTAATGAATCCACTCACCTCGAATGACGGCCCACACAGACTTCCGGTACTTGATCTGGCCTGTAACCAGCCAACGACATTCGTTGTAGCTGACTTTTGCGATGCAGAAGTGCAGCATTATATAGAACGAATCTCCGTACGGAATATCACCATTCACCACCTCAACGTTGATGCTGTATAAATGCCCTGGTTTACTGCAAGAGATCATTGTCTGCTTCTGCGAAACTTTCGAAATTCGCGGTCCCATCGGGGTGACAACCGGGACCTTGAAATTTGCAGTGCGCTCTCTTTCCCCTTTGCTCGCTCCCGATTCCCAAGTTCCTAAAACTATGTCTGGAAAGCGTGGATCTGGTTAGCATCAGGAACAAGGTGACGAAAAATCCCCAATTATTTCATGCCAACCATGAGTTTTCTTCGATGCGAGGAAGTCCAGGTAGAACTCCGATGACGTGAAAAGGAATGTGAAAGCTTGGTCCACGTTGACCGGAAGGATGACGTCGATGAGTACTCTATCGGAGTGACTCTGTGTCTCCGAGCATTTCACTGGTTCAGTAATCACGTCTGAAGAAACGCAAATTAGAAGCATTCGTCAGACTAGTCGAAAAAGGTTTATTCTTATGATGAATGCCGAAAGAAACACGACGCTGTCACGTAGAAATCACAGTTATCCTTACTCAAAAATTTGAAATAAACATGCGGGAAACCTCAGACTGACATCTCTATTCATTAAGTTGCGCGACTATTTACTTCTTTCACCAGGAATATTTTCACCACGAACACCCGGTAACAAGCGGAATAGATTTAGAATTATTTCTCTACAGCGATATTCTATATGATTACGATATTCTATATGATTACGAACACACTTTTCTGGACGTGTTCGATTTTCTTTCAATGCAAGAACAAATTCTATTCAAGGATATCCTCTGTTTAACATTATCTTTTTGATCCCCAGTGTATATCATAGTGTAGTTTTATGAGAGTCCGCTGAACCTGCAACTAATAATTTTGTTATCAATTATTATTGGAAATGTAATCCGGAACTTTCAGAATGTATCTTTAGATCTCAAGTATATAAATAAATTATCTAGAATGCCTCAATTGTAGCGGAAATTATGACTCACAATTTTCTGATTTCGTGCTTTCAGAATCAGTTGAATCCGACCCAGTCTGTCGGACCAACTTCCTCTTCGATTTCGACGCCACTTTGCTGCCCGGAAATTTTTCACTGCGAATCACTGCTGAAGATACGTGCTGTTTTTCACCGTCAGTTTTGCAGACTGCACCTTTTAGTTCCACTATTCCAGGAACCTTTCTGTCTTGACCTCGGGAAGCTTCAGCAATGTCAGACATGTCCCCTGACCCGCCACCGCTTTTCAGATCAAACTGATCTCCCTTCGAGTATGAAAACGCCATGAAGCAATCGATTATCTCAAGGAGCTGACTTAGATAAGCAGTCCGCTAGATAACGCGTGTTTAGCTTGTCACTGTTGCTCAACGATCTCGCACGGACCTCACGGAATAAGAAGAAATGATCCGGCATTTTGCCAAATCGAAGAAAATTTTTCGTCCACGAAAAAATTGTGTGTTCCGCAGAATTTTTTTTCATCCTTTCGTTTAAACCCCCTACTGGGCACGGAAATCCCGGGACTGCGTTTCAGGTTTTACCTCGTGTTTCACCAGTCGTTGGATTCCGTGCTTCACTACTCGCACAGCACGTTTGGCGTATTTCACATGGTGCGGAACCCAGTTTCCCGGCTCCTCGGCAGGGAAAAATCGCTCGAACGGCGACTCGTAAACAACCGTCGGCATGTCAGACCAGCACCTTCGCATTGTGAGAGAACCAGCTCGGATACGCACTGGCTCATATAGGAAAGCGCATAGACGTCATTGGATTCAATGGCTTGGCAGAAATGAAAAATGCTGTGATGCAAAGATGACTGGCCGGACAACGGAAGCACGGGCCGAAATGTATTTTCGAAGGACGAGCATTTCTCGAAACGGAACGTACGCAACTCAATGACGCACAGATTTACTCGCTCTGTCATGTAAAAAAACCCCAGTTTGGAAACCGGGAATTTGGAAAAACTAGATCATGGATGTAAATAATGAAAGCCATAATCTTTAATTCATTTGTTTCGGCGCGAATTTCAAAAGTTTTTTATTGTACCGCTTTCAAGACTTGAAAGTGTTTGCGTACAAACTCAATGGATATACTGACTTCTAATTAACACAGATGATGTCAGTTTGGAAGAAGTATACTGTATATCGATAGTTAATTCAATTCCTACTTTACCTATTCTCTCTCGCTAATTATGATTATTTGTTCATCTGAGCCATTTTCCCGAGTGAGTTTCCCTAGCTATACGCTTCGTTTTTCTCAATTCCCTACATAATAACTTTGCTGCAAGATATGATTGTTTATGCCCAAAATTTTATCGCATTTTATCAGTTGAAAAGCTCTGTGTTGATCGACCAAACAGTGAATTGCGTAAGAAGAAGCATTGCGTCCAGTACAGTGGTATTATGATGAGGAAAAGATAGCACTAATAAACGAATGGAAGAGACGAGCTCAATTAATGAGAGAATAATCGAAAACGAGAACGATTGTATCCAGTCATTAGCGCATGAATCGACACAGCAATTTTGCAACTCACAATACCAAACCAATTATTATTGGCCGCACGCAAACATAGACTGGAAGAGGGTTTACAATTACTGTGAACAAATGATGACCCAATGATGCACAGAAGCTGACTCTAAACGTGTGCAAAATTATCTGCCGCATTTCGATGTGTTGCGAGTGGATGTTAGCGGCATGCGACTAATTTTTAAAACTATTATTTCCACATTCGTGACTCTACGCAGTACAAATACAGGCGTACGCATCTATAGTACATTAAATTTAATGTATACGTAAAGTAAGGCTGCATATATGCTATTTTGAACGGTCTTTTCTCAAATACGTTACACAAATATTCATTCTTGCGCATTTATGGGCCTACAAAAAGTAAGCTTTAACTTTACGCGTCTTCAATAGGGCGCAGAACCCGTGTAGACGTACTGGACACACCGATCTGGAATTTTGGTCGGGCGCATCATCTGAGAACAACTGCGTAGGTATCGAATAATTGAAGTTTCTGAGGATAGTTGCAGTCAAAACACGTACAGTATAAGACTAACTACTTTCCAAGAAATGGGATTGCAAAAGTTTCCAAGCCCAACGGGTGAGGATCAAACTATTTGTTTTTACAGACAGAACAAGAGCTTCAAGTTTTTGATCAAGCAACACAGGGGTATCAATCCTATTTTTCGTGTAACTTTTCAATTATCTTCAGTATGCCACTCAGATTAGATTGCAGTGCAGCCGGCGCAGAAGCACTGGATTATCTCGCGCATTCGACAAATTTGATTTTCGGAGCACTTTCGCGAGGAAAAAAAATCGGCCTGGAGTTGAATAAGTACAGTAATCGTATGCATTTGCAACCGTATATCTTTAGAAATAATATTCCCCAAAACATGGAAATGATGCTCCCAGATCGACGGCAATAATGATGACCGAAATCTAGGATGACTCTCCAGAAATTCCGCAGTGATATTCATGAAAGTACGCGTGTGCTTGTCTCAGTAGAATAGGCACCAAGAACAGCTGCCCCATCAGCATGATAACACTTCCTTTCAAATAAAACCCTGAAATAACGGCGCCACGACCACATCGTCACTATGATCGACGCTCCTCGAAGCAGTCATCCCAATGAGACAGCCAAAACAAACTGAACCCATAAATCATACTAGCTTCCCAATCCCCATCTTCATACTTCCGCCTCAACAAAAAAAATCTCCGATTCGCGGGCGTGGGTAAAATTCCGACTGGCGACATCTGATCGGAACTGTGCGTGTCAAGCATGAATGCCCACGCAGATTTTCTAACGCGAAAGATAACCCCAATTCATGGCGAATCAGTCGCATTGACGTAGCCCGTGTATCCTGGGAAAGGTGGGATTCGCAACCAGCAGTGATCGCGTGCCACTAAATCATCCAAATTCATCACTGCACAAGTGCAACAGCGCTTTTAACTGAAACCCAGTAAAATCACGATCTCCGAACAATAGTATGATTGAGCTCCCTCGTCCGCAAGAGTAATCTAGTAACGAAAAATAAGCTTCTATGCAAGAGGCTTCGCTTTTGTAGGCACCAGTTGTTACGTACTGTACAAGCATATTAATGCAGCTTGAATCGACTTGCATATTCCGAAGAAGAGAACTTTTCATCAATCAGAGATTTCTCTTACAGAAAATTATCTGAAAGAAAGAAATCTTCAGAGAGGAATATTCTTTCCGGGGAGAAACTTCATAGAGATAATGTCCACTTTCGTGCGAACAACTAGGCCACTATAGGGTAACGTACGCTTTCAAGTGGTAGAATATTTATAAAAATGAAGGGAACTCGTTTGGTTTAGAAGAATTTATATCTTGAACAAAAATAATCTTCCCGCGGATATACGGTAGAACTCAATTTATTTGACTTCCGAGTGACCTGCTTATACGCGAATACTGATTCATTATATGGAAAAAAGGCGGACTTCATACATTTTCAATTATGCTTTCTATCAACAAGATCGAAAATTAATTGAGCTTGTGCAATCCCAAATTTGAGGGGATGTTGGTTATATTATATGGAGTAATTTTGAATTTTAAAACCTGCTGTAATAGCGTTTTTAATGCCATTCGATTAATCGTGATGCTGTACAGGATTATACGGACAAAGGCATCCGCGGTGAATAACTCGGATAATCTTTCTACCGTATTTTCTCTATAAATTATGTACAAAATTAGGAAAATTAAAAGTCTGTAGTCATCTATTGTCACGAAGAAAGTACTGAAAAATTCCCACCGATACCATGAAGTTTCAAGTTAGCAACTGACCTTGGAAATAATTTGTCTCATCTGCTTCGTAAATCGTCGCCTTCGTTGATTGACGGTCAGGCCAATAAAAGACATGGCCTGGAATGATTTTAGGATCCTAGCTGAGAAAAGATCTACGGACCAGGACTCCTGACCAAGATCTTCGAGATTAGCCGAAAAAGTATCTGAACGGAATACGAGCTGCACTGGTAGATCTAATTTCAATAAATACGCCGAGTGATACACGGATCCCGCGTCTAAATTTAAATTTAAAAATGTAATTGTGGAAAGCACCACATAGACAAATCTTCTGAAAAGAAATATAAAACCGTGAACTTACACATAAAGAAAGTACACCTTTCTTAACGAAAAATAATATCGGAATATAGTTACCGAAGAATCAAGTTCAAAACGAATGTATTCAACTTTTTTTTTCGAATCCAGAGAAAACTAGAAACTGTCAAAAGTCACTACAGGAATTTGTTATTGGGATTCTGGCGCGATTTAAGCCACGGAAGCTCAACTCAACTCGATACAAGAGACTAAAAATTCGCAAGACAACGCGAGACATACGCTGTAAGCACGGTGATTGAATCATTAAATAAAAATCCACCACGGTAGGCGTTAGCAAAATAAAGAATAATCTACAATAGGGTCTACGAGTAAGATTTGAAAAAATTCAACTCCACAGCACCGTATGCGTATTCTGTTACGGGAGACTCAAGACTGATGCTGTCGCTAAGCAGGAATAAAGAACCTTTAAATCAGCCCGAGGAATCGACTGAGGAAACGACAAGGAAGAGCCTCGTGATGTCTGGCGATTATCAACGAATCTTTCCCACGATTGTGCGACATTTCTGGAGCGTTCTTTTGTTGCATTTTCAAGAACATCTATGAATATTACTGGCGATCCAGTAAAAAAAAATACAGTATTAACAGTTAAAACGCAGTGCGCGTGTTTGAAAAGTGAATAAACGGAGATTCATCAATTCGTTTTGAAAGCTACCCGGAGATACGTGAAATTAAAAGAATTCAGAAATACGAGTCAACCAACTCGCACTTTTGAAAACGAATCGAGGGAGTGATAATCTTGAATAATTTTGGCTCAAGGAATATACTCGAAATTGTCTTTTATAAATGCTTTATGTCGCCGAATAAAACACCTTAACGCACCATGACGCGCGACGAAAATGTTTTTGTCGAAATGGACGATTTTATCAGAAACACTTCCGGTGGAAAGTTGAGTGAATGAACATTTTTGTGCTTATTGTCAACATCTTGATCGATACCAAAGTGTTATAGGAAGCAAGTTCGAAATAAACATTATCATGTACAGCGCTGTATTGATATTGTTTTTCTGGGTTTGATAGGCTTTTCTTCATCGAAGCCGACTGAGAAATACAATTATCTCGTTGATTGAAATCAAATACACATCGTTATGACCAGTATAAGAATGAAGTTCTTCAATATGGTTTGAAACTTTACTTCAAAGTTATCGGAATAATAATCCATTCGATTTGCAAATGAATTTCACTAAACGAGGGAACATCACGAATTAAAACTCTCTTCGGATTTGAATTTTCATCAAGAACAGCTTTCAGATCCACTGAAATCTCGACATAGGTTTGCTTCATATTCGAACAAGTGATGAAAAATCAATTTCTGGCGTAAACGTTGATTGGTTACGCACATACTCCGCAAACGAAGAACAATAGGAAAAGCGAAGAGTTAATCTCCGGAAGTAGGTCTATCTTGTCGGAAGGGTTCCGCGGTGGGAAAACCACGGGGCAAAAAATCCAGACATTTTTCCTCATGATGGGTAGAAAGCAAACACATGGTATCAAAGCTTGAAAGCTGACCTCTTTACCGGGCACATTTGACATCAAAGGTCATAAGATGACCGAGATAAGGTCAGCTCGTCCTGACGCACAGATACCACAAAGAATAGGATTTAAGAATCATCAACCAACACCTTCATGAAATTTGGGACAGAAGCTTTCAAATTTGCATAAAGTTACAATC